CAATTTGTTCAGCAAGATATTGACCTGTGTGACTTTGATTAGATAAATCTAATATTTTCCAAAGTATATCATTACCATTAGAAGTATGAATGATAAAATTCCATAGCGCTTTTCCATCTGGGCTTGTCCAACCATCTAAAGCTATATAAAAATAATAATTAATTAATTATATAATATAATAATTACAAATTTTATATTTAAAAATTTTATTTACCGAGAGTTAGATTTTTTTCTTTTTCTAATATATTATAAATTTTTGTATGAACACGTAAAATTTCATTATCTAATAATGTATTAGCTAATGTTTTGTGAACAGGTAGATTATAAGCTGGTCGTAATTGTTAAACAAATTCAACAAAAAAAGGATAATCTACAAGTTGCCAAGAAAGCCCACCACAAACAAAAAGCTTAATAAGAGAAATACACGTGGCTCTCGATATAACAGAGACCATGGTTCCAGTCCTTTGCTCTATTATTTCAAAAGATCCGTAATATCAAAATTTCATGATATATCAGATATTATAATAAATCATAATTTGGGTCCATTATAATTCTCCGTATTAATCAATATCTATTATATCGATGGTCCGTTATATCAAGAGCCACGTGTTTCTAAATTTGCTTTTTGTTCATTACTTAATGTTAAACTTTCAAAATAGTTATTAATATCCTGTTGATCTTTAGTTGCTTTTCTTTTGCGATTATTTTGAGTTAATTCTTTTTCATATGCTTCTATCATTTTTCGTACAGCTTCTTTAACATGTGGGTCAACTGTTTTGTATTCAACTAAAATATGTCATTTTAAACTAGAAGGTTTTCCTCTTTTTCAAGATGTACCACAATTACAAGAAACTGAACGATGACCTGAATCTATTTCTTCTTATTCATTAAAAAAGCTCTATATTGGATAACGTGGTCTTCCACCCAAATTTTTATTATTATTATTATTATTATTATTATTATTATTATTCTGAACTAAATCTTCAGATTCACCATCTTGACTTGCTATACTAATTTTTAACTTTTGAAAAAAAATTCAGCAAATTATGAAAATTTTAAAGTAAATATTTTCTTTATTATTATTATAAATCTGTTTAATTTTAACATAGTTAAAATATACAAATTAGACAAGTTGTTTAGACCTGTTTGAATATTAGTTTGAAGTATATCGATATTGATACTATTTTAAGTATATATATATGAGAAAGATGAAGATAAATAATCTTTACATATTAAATAATATTTGGCCAGATAGTTAGTAAAGTAGTACAGTATGATAATAAAAATTAAACAAGATTTAAATTTACTAGTCAAAAGCTGGCAAATCGAGTGCAAATCAGGTATGCCATATTTAAAACTGATAACTACCTGATTGTTGCTAATTTTTAAATCTAATAGCCTGATTGATACTAATTTATAGTGCAAATCGCAATCTGGACAAAATCAAACATCAACTTAGGAATTGAAACTGTTATTCATTTAACTGTGATTAATCATTTATTTATTTTATATAGTTAAATGAGTAAAGGTTTTAATAAACAATTAAAAACTGTTAAATTATTCGCTTAATCGTTTTAAAATTTTATATAATTAATCATGATTAATTGCACAAAATTCTAAAACTATGATTTCAATTTCTAAATTTACTTAATTTTCGATTTTAGTAGTTGTTTATTGTTTTAATTCTGGACCTACAAAAGAAAGAAGTAAGGTGAGTTTTTATTTATTTGTTTATTCGTAATTAATCTACCTATTCTTGCTATTACCATTCGTCATTCTAATTCCAATCCTACAAAAAGAAGAATGAGAGATGAGTCTTCTCGATTTCAGTTATTACTCATCGTTTCGATTTTGGACCTACAAAAGAAAGAAATAAGATGAGTCTTCATTTTATTTATTTTCATAATTTACTTATTTCTTCTTGCGATCATCATTGGTTAAATGACTAATAAATGGTTAAACAGTTAAATAATTAATAAACAGTTAAGCGATTAATAAATAGTCAAACGATTAATAAATGGTCAAATAATTAATAAACGGTCAAACGATTAATAAACAGTTAAACGATTAATAAATGGTTAAATAATTAATAAATAGTTAAACGATTTTTACTCATATAACTTAAAGTTAAATGATACGATTAATCGCGAACATAATATTTTGTGGTTCTAATTCCTAATCCAGATTACAGATCTATGAAAGTATTTGAAATATTAAAAAAAAAAAAGAATGAGAAAAAAAAAAGAAAAAAAAAAGAGGGGGGTAAAAGAGAGAAGGTAAAAATTGTGCAAAATGTTTTTTTTTTTTAAGTTTTTTTGTATACTTTATAGAATATATATTTATGATCTATAGTAGCTTACGGATCAAATGGGTTTAAGAAATTTTGAACTTTGTTTTTTTTTTTTTTTTTTTTTTTTTTTTTACCCGGTGATTTAGGTTGAAATTTTTGTGACAGGTATATAATCGTTAAAGATCTGTTAATCATTTCAAATAATTATAATTATAATCAATTTATAGATATACTGTATAATGATTTAATATAAAAAATAATATACTGTATATCAATTATAGATATATATCGATTTTTAACTAGTTAATCGATATATATCATTATTTTTTAATTGATATAAAATGATTAACTGTTATATATTGATTAATATCTATATAAAATTTGCTAATGTACACAGCTATTCACCAGGTATATAAAAAAAAAAACTTAGAAAAAAATAAACAATAAAAATCTTGTGAAGAGTCAAAATTTCAAGCTAATATATAATCCTAAACCAATATTAAAATCCAAAACTAGATTCAAAATCCCAAACTAATACCAAAATCCCAAACCAAGTTAGGGATTTTAATATTAGTTTGGGATTTCAGTATTAGTTTGGGATTTAGAAATTAGTTTGGGATTTGGGTTTTAATTTAGAATTTGGGATTTGGGATTTAGAGAAAAAATATCAAATTTAAACCTAGCTAATACTATAATTTAAACCTAAAGGGTTTAGGAAGGTTTGGGTTTTGGGACCCATCTTTAATTATAACCAAAGTAATAACCAATATATGTTAAACAAATAGTATGAATATACTACCACTCAGAGATTTTATACAAGAGTTTGTAATAATTCATATCTATATCAGCAAATTTAATAGGGCGTAATATTGCACAATAATTTACAAAGTATAAGAACACTGTAATATTACATAATAACTTTCGCAATATTGCAAAATATAAAATTATGAAATATTACGTAAGATTATTACGCAATATTATGCTAGAAATAACACAATATTACGTAAAATAACTCAAAATAATGCGAAACAGATTGAGATAATTAACTATGAACAATGAGTGTAAAATAATTTGAAATAATTCAAATTATAATAAAAGTGAT